CCTAGCCCTATATTTGCTCTCTTCTTCCTTAAATAATATTTTTAAAACCACTCCTTTTTAATTGGAACTCTACTGCTCAATAACTCTACTGGAGTAGAAACTGGATTGAAAACAGCATGGATACAAGATGGATTCAGTTCCCCATTCTTTTAAAAATATTTTTATTTATTTTATCATAATTCAATACATTTGTTATACATCGTTTGTTTTACAGCAGACACATAATATTCCATACAATCTACCATACATTAACTTTTGGCATCTACTGTTACTTTTAAGCTTATAATATTTTCTATCCCTCACCACTGTGCTCTCCTCCACCCGAGCCACTACTTTTATCTGTCCAGAATTTCATTTTCTCTTGTGGAGGTAACTTTCTGTCTTTCTTTTTAAATCCTTTTCCAATAAATGTTCTCCATACAACATCAAAATCATTTTATTTCCATATCCCTCTTTTAACTTTTAATTTACATGTCATCTTATCATTTATTGCTAGTTTCCATACTTCCTTATACTACTTTTCTATTTGTATATTTACTTCTCTTTTTCCAATTCCTTGCTATAAACAGTCTTACTATTGTTAATAAATTTGTTATTGCATCTTTATCCTCTTTTTCAGCTGTTTATTATTATATAATGATAATAAAGCTATACTAGAACTTCTTTCTATTTTAATGTTCATTATATCCTCTATTTCTCTAAATATCTCCCCCAGAAATTACTTACATATTTACATTGCCACCATATATGTATATATGTTCCCAATTCATGGCATCCTCTCCAGCAATTTTTTGAATAGTTTTTATTTATATTTAATGTTCTTATTGGTGTTAGATACCATTTCCATAATAACTTATAGTAATTTTCTTTAACCCATATTGATACATTTTTCAAATGTCTTTGTCTCTATAATTGTAACTCTGGATTGTTGTAGGTTTTTCGGGCTATATGACCATGTTCTCGAAGCATTATCTCCTGACATTTTACCTGCATCTATGGCAGGCATCCTCAGAGGTTGTGAGGTCTGTTGGAAACTAGGAAAAACTGGTTTTCCTAGTTAGAAGAGAATGCTTCTAGAACATGTCCCAATAGCCCGAAAAACCTACAACAATCCAGTGATTCCGGCCATGAAAGCCTTCGACAATAGATTGTAACCACTCTGTTTCATTTATTTTCATCCCTAAATCTTTTTAATGCTGAAATGGGTTCATACTTCTCCTAATTTTGAAGCCATTCTAACCATTTGTGTCTTTTCACACTTGATTTCAAAATAAAGTAAACAGAAAATGAGCAGTCATGATATCCCAATACAAATGCTTTTAGTCAACAGCACCTGGTTATGTTCAGTTTTAGTTACAAATCAATAATCATGTCTTAAAATAGTCTTAACACAAATGGCAAAATTAATGTCAGCAAAGAGTTTATTCAGTCTCCCTCTATTCGTCCTGTCATAAAGTCATGATCAAGTAGTTGATTGCAGAACTTCCCAGTATTTCCATGAACCTACAAACCGTATCTTCCACAATAAGCCATCCCCAAAATATTCCATTAGTTTACTTAGTTTTTATCGGGACAAATTATTAATTTCAAATAAAAATTGCTTAGAAATGCTATATAGAGAGCTTAGAAGGTCTGTCACAAATAACCTATGATTCTGTGTTTTTTGAATAACAAGGCTATGATAATAGTCCTTTTGCAAACAAAGGCTTAATATCTCTTTTGTCAAATAACACAGCTGCTAATATAGTTGCATTTTTAAACTTTCAAAATGTGGCTTCTGTGGGAACTTCAGCAATTTTTATATTTTTACAGCAAAATGTAAAACTTAAAACATTAATACTAACATGTTAGTATTAAAATATTGAGCATTACTGTTGAAAATGATGACCTAGTCTATAGTGAGATGCTTTACAGCATATATAAAGCATCATAGGTTTCTTCCACCAGAATTGTATAATCTTAAATTTTCATGTTAGTGCACAGACAAACCTTTTTTTCACTCTCTCAATTTTCCATTGTGAATCCTGTAGGTTATTAATAATAGCTTACTGACTGGAAATAGGTCATCTTCATGGTACCAAGATATTTAAAACTTTTTATAAATCATACAGCATATTGTGTCTGTGAAGGATGTCTCTCTTAACTTTTACTTTCCTTTTGTTGGCTTCATCATGTCGCCTATTGTTTCATGCTTTGTACAAGTGTCCCTTTTCTGCTTTGCAAAGGATATTTACTTTTATAAGTAATTATAATAACATTTTCTGGATTTTGTGACCTTTACTGATAAAGAGTAAACTTTCAAGGAAGCGTGTTGCTTTAACAACAAAAAGGACAAGCAATACTGAATCATGCTGTTACTCAGCTTTGTCTTAACTGTTAATGTTTTTAATGCAGCTTGCATTTAACTTTTGGTTAAGGGTGATCAGCTATGAAATATCTTCAAGGACACATTTTATATGATCTCCTATCAAAGGACAAAGGTGCCAGTTAACAAATTTACAAAAAGGGTGGTGGTTAATCCGGTATTTTTTCAAATACTGTAATATATGCTATAGACATTACATGGAAGTAGTTCACCAATTAGAGGAATAAGAAATGAGGGTGTCTACTAGGTATGGAAATGAAATCAGGAAAGGAATTTCAATAATTTTTGATCTATGGTCAGAGACTAGGGCTCCTTCTACAGATGATATTTTGAGGAGGCAGATGGCCTACAAACCTCTCCAGACTGGATGGTGAATTTCTGTGGGTTACATTAGGCTCACAGGTCAGAGTTAATAAACTTTAAAATGCAGTTTTCCTCCCCTGGCTTAAAAGAAGCCTTCCCATGAAGTCTGAATATCGTATTTGTAATAGATAGAATGGATTGGTAGCAACATAACCTTATGTGGCATATTTGCAGCATATGGAAAACAGTTTCTAGTTTTGGTTTATCGGGTATATATGCTGAGAGAATGTGACTTGCCCAAGGTCACGCTGTGTGTTTAAATAGACAAGTGGGAGTTTGAACCCAGTTTTCCAGCATCGCAGCTCAGTGCTTAAACCAGTACAGCACACATGTTCATGCATGTTTATATTGCAATCTATTTTGACAAATTTGGTATTGAGATTAATACTTTTGGCTAATAATGTTTACAAGAGTTAATCACTGCAGTATAATATTCAATTTGAGCCAAATTTCTACTTTCTCAACTTATTCAAACTCTGATTATATTTTTATCCATATGCTAACTGCTACATTCAGGCCACTTCAAATCTTTGTCAAGATTTCAGTAATTTGGTGGTTTAAATCCTTGGTGGTTTAATGAATGTTTGACCAGGATACTGGGAGACCAGGGTTCAAATCCCTGCTCAAGCATGGAAACCCATTGGGGGGCCTTGGGTAAATCATATTCTCAATCTCAGAGTAAACAAATGGCAAAGTCTCTCTAAACAAATCTTGTTTTTAAAAAATCCAAAATAGGTTCACCTTAGAATTACTATAAGCTAAAAATGGCTTGAAATCACTGAACAACAATATTTTTGTTTTGCATTGGCAAAAATAAAAGTATAGGGCAATCAAATTTCATTTTCTTATGTTCTCAGAGTTACATGAACACGAACATTTAATTCACACTGTAGTTCTATACACTGCATGCAAAAGTGACATCCAGTGGCCAGTTACATTAATTAGCATAAGTTTTATTCCATAAGGCAGATATTAGCAATTTATTAATAAAATGAAAGTAAATCTCCTAAAGTCCTATGCTCTTAGGATTGTGGTGTCAGAAGCCCTACACAATTACAAAATGTTCTGTTGGGAGGAAGACTTTTAGAAATCTAAATGTAATGGGATTTCTAATACTATACATAGAAGTGGCAATTGTCTAGTTTTAATTTTCCCTTGTAGTAGATACTCAGTTATTTGACTAGTGGCCAAAGGTAGATAATTCATTCTCTGTTTCACTTTGGAAACCTAATTTCTTTTGTTTGATCAAAAAATTACCACCACTCCAAAAGGCAAGAGAAAAATGTGAGCCCACAACATTAATTTGGGCAGACCTGCCAGAAGAGATAGGTCTGTAATTGTGTTTCAAATTCTGAAACTCATTTAAGTGTCGAATTTCTTCTGGCAGGTTATTCCACAGTCTAGAGGTGGGTGATGAAAAGGTCCTCTGGGTGACAGTAGCCAATTGAGTTCTGGCTGGTTGAATCAAATGTCCCTCAGAAGACCTGAGTCAGTGAGGCGGATAAGGCAATCCTGCAGGTAACCTGAACCCAAACCATGTAGGCAACCAGTGGAATTATTTTACGATAGCTGTGATATGCTCACTCCTAGATGTTCCCATAACCAATCTGGCTGCCATATTTTGAACTAAATGAAGTTTCTGAACTTTTTTCAGAGATAACCCAATGCATTGTAGAAGTCAAAGTTTGAGATTACCAGTGCATACTACCACCTTTAGGTCTTCCAGTTCTAGGAAAGGGCGCAGCTGGCGTATTCGCTGCAGCTTTTGATGACTTTTTTGCATGGGGCAGATATCTTTCCTATGTGGCAACTGTTTTAGTGCAAAGAAGAGTATGCAGGAGATCCAGCTGTGGATCTTTCGTTTGTTCTGTAGCTTAATCTTTAAATGTGCTTATTTCTGTCTGGCTTTTATCCATAACGTTCTGCTTTGAATATTGGTTTCTTTGACTTACACATCATCTTTCCTTGAGCATATGCTGATATTTAGATTTGCTTCTAACAGAACCATACGCAAACACATGATTAAGTCAAATGTGTGCTAAGATTCTTGATCCCTAAGCTTGACTTCTAGTCTAAGGCAGCCAGTTATTTAAAAAAATCAGTTTAAACTTAATTTAATTGTTTTAACTGTATCTTTAAAATGAGCACTGATGGAGAAAACTATGAAAAATGTTGAGCAGAGAGTGTTACTTTCTGCCTTGACATATTGTAGTCAAAGTAGTATTTGGTTGTGTACAATGACAAAGGTTTATTTTTCCTTTGTTCTTTTCAGAGCGCTGCAGCAGCTCCCAGTCCAGTGCTAGGAAACATTCCCCCAGGAGATGGCATGCCAGTAGGTCCTGTACCACCGGGGTTTTTTCAGGTATTCAGAACCATTATGAATATAGGAACTTTAGGACTTAGAAATGGGTCATGAGTATTATTTGGCACTCCCATAAAAGGGCATGGTTTCAAATCGTGCAATGTATATGATGCATATTGTTTAAACACAATGAGGCAATATAATGATATTTTGTATCAGAAGTAGAAAATTGTAAAGCAGAGCATGCTTGTGATAGAATTTTGGATGTACAATAGTTAATCTAATTGTGCCATAGAGGGCATATTTTCTATTCCAACACTGGTTGCTTGCTTTGATTTCACTATAGAGTTTTCCTATTTTGAGATTACATTGAACTGATACCGTAAGAGTTAAGCAGAGCTGTGGAAAATGAGTAGACTAATGGTCTTATTCAAATTTGAACAAAATATTTCAGTTCCTTTATGTATTATTTAAGAGTAGGCTGTATGAATGGGAGTATTGGTTTCTTCTTAGTGTGCCCTCGTATCAGTTTTCGAGCTCAAGCATAGGCACAGGAGCAGTTGGAGAAACAGTATTATTTCTGTGCAAGGATTTACTTTCTCCTATCTACTAAGATAACTAATAACAACAATGAATTAGAAATCAAAAATCAAAATATAATGGAATACTTTTCTCACTAAAGATACAAAAAAAAACCAGTTTCTATCTTTATATATTATATGTAGATAGAATATTGTATAACTTTTAGGTGTATGCTTATCCAACTGTGATGAGTATTGATGAGACTTTAGTGGTTGTTTTTTCCAGAGAAGAAGAATTAAGTAATGTGCTATAAATAATTGAACTGTTTTAAGTCAAAGCTATTCTATTCCATAAACTTCACAATTCATAATTTTTTAAAAAGTGCTTGGAATTATCAAACAGATGTGTATGGTTTAATTTCTTATTTTGTTTGTGTGCAAAGCATCTCCCTTTTGTTATTTGAAGTCCTCCCTCTGATTTTCTTTTTTCAAAAAAGTCCTAATTTAAAAGGAAATAGTAACATCCTGTTAATTCAAACACTTGATGTTTCATATTATATCCTTGTAAATAAGTATTTATAAAATTGTACAGTGCCTTACGAAAGTATTGATCCCCTACTTATTTACTGTTATTTGCCTAAATGAGCTCTAGTGTGACCCACTGTCTTCAAAACTCCCAAAAGAAACATGTTAGAAAGTATATCTTAACAAAAAGCATGACAAGTTTGGAAAATGAGAGTTTTTTAAAAATCTCCAAAATTATGTACGTTCATTATTATAAAATAGAAAGATTATAGCTTGCTTTTGCTTCCACCTGGAGCAAGCCCTTTACAAAACCCAGTGACCACACAAGGAGAAAGAAGCAATGAAGAGACCAACAATTAACTCTGAATGATCTGGAGAGATCTGCAGTAATTGTCTATGGGTCAACTACTTCCTAGATGTTCCAAAAAACTTGGTTGCATGAAGGAACAGTGAAGAAACCCATTGGTCAGACAAACCCCCATCAAATCTCATTAGGAGTTTAAAACACATACACACACAGAGCAAGGTGGGGAAAGACTTTCTTTATTGATAAGACCAAAACTAAAGTTGCATTAGTGCCAAAAATCCTGTATGTAATGTAAAGCCAGCAGAGCTTACCATGTTTTCTGGAATATAAGATGACTTTTTAACCCTGGAAAATCTTATGCAAAGTCAGGGGTTGTCTTATACGCCGGGTATAAAATTTTAAGAAATAATAATGAAACCAAAGAATAAAATCCAAGTCCCTTAGCAATGCAGCCTGAGGAGAAGGGAGAGGAGGAGGGCAGAGGGAGGGAGGGCACAGGGTGGAGGACAGGCAGGCCACATTGCCAGGGAGACCGATTGGGGTGGTGGCCCACTGGGCTGTCCCCACTGCCCCCACAGCTCTCCCCACTCTACTTTCAAGGCCCTCCTCCGTCCCCACTGCTCTCCTCCTCTGAAGCCCCCCGGGCTCACCTAGGCCCAAGGAAGTGCCTCCTGATTACGACTCCCAGCAGGCCCGGGTGGCAGCACGCCTTGGATGTGCCTGCTGAGGCTTGACAAGGTTTGCACTTGGGATTTCTTCTGACTAGTGGCCGTAGCATTGGAAGAAGGGTAGTCTTATACAGCGAATATATCTCTTACTGTGTATTTTATCTTGAAAAGTTGGGGGTCATCTTATATGCCCAGTCGTCTTCTATGGTGGAAAATACATTATTTTCTAAGAAGGGCATCCCTATGGTGAAGCATGGTGGTGGTAGTGACAACACGACGTAAAGATGGCATTCCAAAACAGGGACTGGGAAACAGGTCAGGACTGATGAGAAGGTGGATACAGCTATAATTCTAGAGGGAAATTTGTTTAGCTTGCAAAGGACCTTCCACCAGGACCTGAAACACACAGAGTGATTTAAAAACAGGAACCTAAATATTTCTGAATGGCTCGATGAAAGGGCAAACCTGAATCTTATTGGAGACATGGTAGTTGCTATTCATCAGTTGTCCGTGGAGCTGGGGCAATTTTACCAATAAGAATGGGGAGAACTTGCAGAATCCAGATGTGCAAAGTTGACAAGAAATTATCCAAGAAGAGTTGTGATTAATTGTGCTTCTATGTATTGATTTGACTTCTGGAAACTACAAAGTGACAATTTGTTTTTGTTTATTTAATTTTTGAGACACAATTAAACTATTTTGCATTTCCTAGTAGGCCTCACATTTCAAAAAAATTATTTCCAAATTTGTGCCACAACTGATATACGGGATAGAGATATAGGAACAGGAGGGAGCAGGTATTTTACAGAACTACTATGTACCTTCCTCTGTGCTAAGACTAGGAGTTGACCTTCTAATAATTCTAAAATCCATATAGCATTTATACTTTATGGGAAAAGGTTGATGAGCTTGGATTATTGTAATTTAACGAACAATGTTTCACTGACCAAAATGCTCAGGCTAGGTGAATCCATTATTGGTAATCATTGTCCCAATCCGAATGTTAGAGTGTCCAGACTTTTATAATCCACAAGGATAAATATTTTCTTAGAGATAGTATTTTTGAGTTTAATTCATATGATAATGTGATTGTAAGCCATCAGCAAATGTTCTTATCATAGTACAGCCTTCTAAAGAAAGACCAATATTTTCAACAGTATTTCCAATACTTATTTCTTTGTTACTGTTAGAAAAGCCTTTACAACTCTCAATTCACAAACAATATCATCAGCTCAACTAGAGATAAGGCATTAAGGGAATCCTGGGAACTATGTATTTGTGGCTCTGGAGAGTTGGAAGACTTCGTTCACCATTTATTACAGTGCCCATTGTATAGTGACCCCAGTATGCATTTCTTGGATGACCTTTAGTGAGTGAGGGCAAACTGGATGTTGCCTGATAGATTTATGACCTGTTGGCAGATCATTCTAAGGCCATTATACTCAAGGTTGCCACCTTTGTGGTAACAGCTCACAATATCAGCTGCAAAGACATCAGCAATGGATGGCAAAGGGAATCAGTTATTGGTCTGACATTTTCTCAAGTAACTTCTTGTTTGGTTGTCTCATTTTTAGCTTCCTTTATAATTATTTTATCTAATGTACATATATCAGTTGTATTCTGTTGTACTAGATACACTATATTGTCAGTATTGTGAATGGTTGTTATACCACACGCAAGTGAAACTATTTTGGATTTTGTCGGTATTGTGAATGGTTGTTATACCACACGCAAGTGAAACTATTACTACTATTTAAAACTATTGAGTATAGTTTATACATCAAGTAGTAGCAATATTACTTAAATCTATTTCAGTTTCTAAATGTGGACACGTTTTAAATGTTTGTGTGTAAATAATTCTGCAAGGCAAGATTCCTTCAAACAGGAATCTTGCTGAATTTATTTACGTGAGGGAATCAGAGAAAAAACAATGTTTCTGTGGACAGGTCTTTTTTGTTTGGCCTCTCTCAATGTAATACTTAGTTGTATATTACTTAGAAATCTACTCGGAACTGAAGACTGCAGATTTATAACACCAGGAGCCTCTCTCTTGATTGGTAGACATTCATAGTTGCACAGTCTTCCTTTTTTAAAAACTGTTTTAATATTGAAGAGACCCTTTTCTGTTTCAGTAAGTTTGGTTGTGTTTTGTATGTGTTCCTAGCAGTTTCTATATTTTCCCATCATGCAAAAGTCATATTGGCTCCAAGACCAGACATTGTATATTACACTTATAAGTTTTGTTATTTTTATTTTAAGTTGCATCTCATTATGAGTTAACTGCTGTAGCAGATATCTACATGCTGAATCAAGCATTATAAACTTTACAAAATACAGAATTTTGCTTAAATGGTTTCTCCTATTACTCATTTTAAAAAAAATCTCTATTATTGATTTAAATAAATTGAACTTGATTGTTTCATCTCCAAATTCCAATTCAAATTGTTTTGGTCTAAAGCAGGGGTTCTCAAACTTTTTCAGCTGCGGAACCCTTTTTGAAGCAAAAGTTTCTCGTGGAACTCAAGAAAGGTTTACATATTGTATTGTATTATTATATTATATTATATTATATTATATTATATTATATTATATTATATTACATATATATAAATATCAGGCATGGGAAAACTTTTGAAGAACAATTTAACCAACATAAACTTAACAGTATTTCAGTGGAAGACCCCGGGGCCATCCAGTCCAATCCCCTTCTTCCATGCAGGAAAAGCACAATCAAAGCAGCCTCAACAGATGGCCATCCAGCCTTTGTAATAATAATAATTTTCTTTATTTATTTATTTCAGATATTTGTATCCTGCCCTTCTCAACCCCCCGGGGGGGGAGGGGCAGCTTCCAGCTGGCAACAATTTGATGCCTCCAATGTATACATAATTAAATACATAATAAAATTAATAATTACATACATTTAAAACAAATGAATCACGTTCAATTAAAAACCATTTAAAGCCAAAATTCTGTAGTTAGAGACTCCATCAATCATTGTCATTGTCCGCATGATTACCTGAAGGCCTGGCCCCACAT